TAACAGTGTTAAATTTAACCTTGGCTGGTTTAATGGTGTGGAAGAAAATCATCATCTTTATTCTGTAGAGCTGTGCCTGTGTCTTATGCCAGATGTTGGTTTGTCCCTTTGACTCAAAATCCTACAAGTTTTATATTTTTGTCATAGAAAGAAAATATTTATTGAACCTATCAATATGTTCTACAGCTAAAATGGACAGGACCCTGGCTTTTTATCTCCTTTTTTAAAATTAGGACTTGTATGTCCCAGGACATCTGTTGGTGGACCCCCACCAACTTTGTTGTAGCTTTCTGTTAATGTATATGATCTTTTCAAATACTTTAGTGTGTATTGCATATGCCTGACTGACTGCTTGAATACTCTAATACACACTAAAGGGAAATAATCTTTACTGTTCAATCTTTACTCTGTGATAAGTGAACTGTTAGCCAGCTTCACTTCAGTTTCCATCTGCTTCTCATATTATCTTGTCATAAAGTCATAAAACAGAATTGGGGAAAAAGCAATTAGAAATACTAAAGAAAAACATTCTTCTTAGGTACTGTTTTTTTCAGCACAGATTAGTGTGGACTGTAAAGATCTTTGTAAACAAAGTTTTCTTTACTGTGCCAACCTAGCTAATTGTCAAAGAAACCTTAATAAAAAGAGTGCTCTGTAACTTAAAGAAGTTTTTAATCAACCATCAAATGTACTAAGTTAGGCACTCAAAGCTAATTCTTCATGCCTCCAACATAATTTGTATAATTCTGTATCTGAAGGGAATTACAGAAAGACTTGGAATGGGATTTTTATTAAAAAAATGCATGTCTGTCCAGCTTTTTAGATAAATTAAGAAAGCCTTAGAAAGCTACTTTTTTTGCTGTTCTGTGACTTTACATATATCAGGATCTAATTTCTCCTAGTTCTTTGTGTCGTGCTTTCTCAGGTGGGTAAGTTGGGACAGGAAGACCCAGTGAGATCCGGTTCGTGGATCCAGGGCAGTGCCGCAGGACCAAACTCTCTGAGCTGCTCAGGGCTGGAGATGCTCCCTGCTGAGGAGTCAGTCCTTGGAAGGACTCGCTCATCTCTGGCCTCAGCCAAAAAGCCCTCCTGTCTCTCCCTGAAAATGTGCTCTTCCATCATAGGCAGATCCCTGGCACATGCCAGCATGCCATAGTGAGCAGGTGAGAACTGGCAAAACTGAATTGCTCTCTATTCAGACATGGCTCTTCAGCTCTTGTTCAGTTGACAGCAGACCTCTGTCTTGGCAAAGATACGTTTTGCCCTTATGTACTTGGTTGATTTAGAAAAGGTACTAAATTGCAGGCTTGTTTTAGCAGTTAAAATCTCTCTATGTGGCTGTAATGGCCAGAATGTAATGAGACTTAAAATTCTCTCAACTGCAACCAAAACTTATTTTGGATTTGGCTTGCAACAGAAATGCGAAGCTTTCTTCATGAGAGAAAAAGAAGAAATCCGGCCTCAAATCAGTGCTAAGCTGTTCAGTGAAGTCTCTGAGCTGTAGCCTCGAGAAGAGATCTTTGCTCTGTGTGCATGCCCTTAGACAGAGCCTGTGGCACAGAGAGGAGCCTGTGGGGTGACCTATGTCAGATCTGATGTCATGAACCATGACTGCTGCAGGTGAAAGGGGCGTCTGTAGCCAGTTTCCGTGGTAACTGGTAGGCACCTGCAGCTTGCTGACGCAGTAGTGGATCTGTCCTTGCCTGTGCACAGAGCATTCAGTGATGGACATATGTAGCTGTCCTAGAAAAGCCTTGGCAAAGGGTGGATTTGATGGAGGGCAAGCCTTTTCCCCCTTGCTTATAAGGCATTTTCACTTCTGTGGTGTTGAGCTCTCTTCCTCAGTTTATTTCCCTGGTATCTGGAAATATTGGGAATAGCTTTTATTGTTTGAAAAATTACTTTCCTTTGTGTTACAGTTTGCAAGGAATTTACAGACTTACTCAAATTTACCTCTTGTTTTGCTGTTGCTTGAGGTTTTGTTTTGGTAGCTTGCTGCTTGCAGGAAGAAAGAAAATGTATCAGCCCATGAACTTCTAAAGTCATGGAAAGCTTTCCTGAAATCATAAAGATAGTACCATACGCAAGATTATGAAAAGATCAATTTTGTTCTTTCTATGATGTGCAGTGTATCAGGAGGAAGGTTTGTTTGGATTCTTTGGTATTCTGATTACCCCTCATAGCTGCTAAAGTGTCAAATTACAATAGGTTTGTAACTAGATGCTGTGTATCTGCTCCTTTTGCTGTGTCTTGCTATGCATCCTGAAAGGTTGGTCAACAGTGCAGATATTGCCTGAGTGAGGAACGACTAAGGCTTGTCAGACATGGAGGTAAATTCTTGGTTTGAGATACCTGCAGCTATTGAGCACTGTTTGTGATGTTATTCTGCAAATGAGTAGTTTAAACACTGTGTGTGCTGCTCAGCACTGACACATTGCATTTCATGGAAGAGTCACAGGATCATGGAATAAGCTGTGTTGGAAAGGACCCGTCAGGATCATCAAGTCCAACTCCTGGCCCTACGCAGAACACCCCCATCCCACCATGTGCCTGAGAGCATTGTTGAAATGCTTCCTGAACTCAGACACGTTTGGTGTGACCATTTCTTGGGGAGCCTGTTCCTGTGCCCAGCCGCCCTTTGAGTGGATATCTTTTCCTGGTAGCAAACCTAAACTAGCCCTGACCCAGCTTCCTTGAGTCCTGTCACTGGTTAGGAGAGTGAAGAGATTGGTACTTGCTCCTCTGTGAGCAAGACAAAGCACAATTAAAAAAAAAAAAATCATTCTCCAGACTCCTGAAGGTTTCTGGTATGTGTCCATAACTAAACCTGTCTTGCATTCCTTACATGACTGCCAAACAGAAGAGATGGATAATCAAGTTTTGTGTGCTCATATAAGGATGCCTAATATGCTTTAACCTTCTTTCTTCCTCCCTGTTGTTAAGCATCAGTAATGTTAAAGCTAAACAGCTGGAAGCAGTTTTATCACTTTGCAACAGTGCCTGGCCATGTACCACAGGCAGGGCCTTCTGAAGCCAGGGAATGCTGGCAATTGCAGTTCAGGCTTTTTTTGTTCACTGGGACATCACGCCTTTAACCAATCAAGACTGGTGAGTTAACAAGTGAGAGGGACCTCCTGTTGTCTTCAGTGGTTTTTTACTTCACAGCTTCCAGAAGAAATGATTACTACGACAAAAAAAAACCCCAACCCAAAACCTCAGCACAGCACTTAAAGAAGTGCCTGTAGAGAGTATAAATCAAATTAGACAGACCAAAAGCTTTCAAAAGCTTTGGATGTTTTTCCCACAAAAAAACAAGGGTAATTTTTAGAAATGTACTAATAGGTATGATTTTTCTGAGATGCTGATGTAGGAATAGTCAATATAAATAGTCCAGGAAAGAATGGAAAAAATGACAGATTCACCCTTGAAAACCAAAGAAATATTCTGATAACCTAATGAAACATTGGCCTTGTTCTGAGCTTCAACTGCTTAGTAAACTTGAGCTGCCCAGGTATTTCCTAAAAGTTGTGCTTGTGCATTTGGGTGACTTTAAAGTCTAAACCACATTGATCTTAGAAACTGGGTGTGGTTGTTAATAAATACCTTTGAGCACAGGCTACAGTGTCTTCCCAGCTGGTAATAACTGGTTAACTTAAACCCATTTTCTGCACACTTTCATCTGGTTTTCACGTAGGGTGTGGTGGAGTTGCCAGTGTGTAATGCTGGGTGCTGTGTTGGAGGTTTTTAAGTGTTCATCAATAAATAATATGTTTGAAGTAAGAAAGAAGTCAGTTCTTTGTGAAGTTTCACAGTATAAGAACCCTGAAATCTGTCATCAACACTTTAGGCAAACACTACCTTGTCTTGTCAATTATTATAGTGAAAGCCTAATTAATAATAGCTGTGGAGAAGCAGATTAATCTCACCTAGGGATTGCTTGCAGCTGTTGGATCACTTTCTCAAAGTGCCAGTAGTGTTCAGGCTCCTAAAGGGTGGATTTTGTTCCACTGAGGTCCACAATTGCTTAATGCCCATTTCAGCAGGTATCTGCTATGAGCAAAGGACAGGAGTGCTGCCTTTATAGACACAAATCTCTTCTTTCTTGTTTATTTAAGTCTTGATGTACCTATACACTGAGCATAGGTAACATGAGTTAGCTGTTGTGTGATGTAGTACCATTACATGTTGATGTTACTAGATTAGCTGTAAATTGTGCAGGAAAATAATTTTTGTATTCCCTAAATTTGCTGGATATTAAATCACTACCAGGAGGACCTTAGAGGAGGAGAAATGGATGGAATTCCAGAAGGGGATGTGGTAGGGGTGAACTTTGTCTTGATCTGGCTCCTGTTGATTGTGGACACATGGCTTTCTTTTTTTCTCTCTTTCTCTCTTTTCCATCTGCTAAATGTAGCTGATTATCTCTTAGAACAGCTTGAAATCTCCTGATAGAAAAAGCAGCCAATTCTTATCTAAGGTTATTATTCAGTGAAACATCTGTACAGGGTGCTGGTAACAATGAGGCATAATTTTAGTTACTCACAGATAAATCCCATGTCCTTAGCCATGACTTTGCTGTTCTCTTTTAGTATCTCACTGACTTGTTTTTAAGTCTTAAGGTCCTTAAAACAGACCAGGTACTTTCACTTCATCGAGCAACTTCATTGTTCTAAAATGCCAGAGATCTAAGTGGTAGCCCTGAGTAGAGCATGTGAAAAGCAGGCACAAGCATCATGGATTTGCTGCAAGAATAACTCCAGAAATGGTATTAGCAACAGCAATATGTGTGTGAATGTGCTACATGATGAGGGGAGAATCCCAGTTAAAGTGTTGTTGCTAAACAAGTGACAAAGACCTTGCAAACAGTATGAGAATCTGGGCCAACTATGGTTATATTAATAATAAATCAGATCTGGTCTGCTACTTCCTACACATAGAGTTTTTTCACCTATTGTCATTTTTCTAACTTTAATTTAGTTTGTGTTGTTTTTTTTCCCCAGCATTTACTAAATGCTGTCAAGAAACTGGTGTTCTGATGGTGGTGAAGTGTCGGCAGGAGAACGCAGCACTGAAGGACTGTCTGGTTGGCTAGTAAGTCCCTCCTGAGTTTTTGCTGGGTTTTTGTGCATGGCCTGTACTAATCTAGAAATGTGAACTATTCTGAAAAGGGCTCTGCAGGCTTAGGGACTTAGCCTAGCTTAGGGACTTGGATGTATTTTCTGAAAATGGTATCTTTGCTTTATTAAAGCCGTGCTGGTCAGGGCCCTAACTGACAAGACTTTTATGAATCTATGGCTACAGAGCCTCTCTTCTTGATTCACCTGGGGACAGATTTCAGCCCAGAGGACCTGCAGCCCTTTATTTGCTCTGGTACATCACAGATGTGGGGATAGGGGTGCACAGTGAAGCTTCTTCATAGTCTGTTAGTAAGACAGTAAAAGTTGGTTTTCATTTTGCTTCTGTTTTTTAAGATTTAGTCTGTCTTGAGACTGTTCTGCTGTTGTGAACAGCAGTTGCAGGAGCAATGGGAAATTGTTATATATGAGAGGTCAACTCAATGCCATGGTGGATTGAAACATCTTTTTTGGAAGTCCTAATTTACCCCCAGTGCCATTAGGCTGAAGTGTTAGATTCTTGAATTTCCCAGGGTGAGGGCTGCGAAGTTTTTTAGTTTGACTGGGGGAAAAAGGAAATTGGTTTGATTTTTGCCGTGTCCTGCTCTCTTAAACCAGTGATTGACATTAAAAATAAATGCCTTTGAACTAGTGGCAGTTATTCTCAAGTATTTAGGAACTGATGAAAAAAACATCTGCAGTCAGGCAAAAATTTAGGCCTAGCTGCAGTCAGAACTTGCTGGAGTTACTTGGTTTTATTTGTCTGTTCCTTCACCTTTTAAAAAACATAAAATTAAACAAAATGCTTCTGACAAAAAAAAAAGGTTTATAGTATTGAATAATTATACTTCAAAAAATTATGAGAGAAAGGAATTTAATATAATGATCAAGGACCATTATATCTACTCTAAAGACATACACTTGAACCTATTCCCAGTAGTTACTTGGATGCATTAAAAAATAAGTCATCTCCAGCAGGTTCCTGTGCTGAGGAGGAGAACTGCAAGTGAATTCTTCAGCTGAACTTAAATACCAAATGTGTTTCCCTTTTTTTGCCTTTCCTCTTGATGGCTTCACCACAGAGGCTTGAAAAGGAGAGTTATTTTACTGTTAAAGGCAGACAAGTTTTCTTGGGGTGTGGAAGGAAGATCAGTTATGAGTGGTACTCGTGCAATATCTGTTCAATATTCCAAGATGAAAAACAATGTGTGTTTTCTGTCTTGTAGCTATTCTGATCCATCATTCTATGAAGAATGCAAAGCAGAATATTTGAAGCAAAGAGAAGAGTACAGAGCAACTGGAATTAAGAAAAAAAGACAGAAGTTTACTCAGAATGTGTGATTAAAACTTAAAATGAACTTTTTTTATATGCAATATAGATTTCACTTGATTTAAACAGACTTAAATTGTCTGCACCACTCTATGTGGAGTTTAACTGAAATACACAAAATGAGATTAATGGAGAATAAAATAATGTCTGAAATTAAGAGTCAACTTTAAAACTTTTCATAATTAAAGATCTGGAGCATGCTGTCACAGCTTGCAAGAGAAGTGGCAAAGGTGTGTTCCCCTATCTAGACTTGAGATTTTGTTACCAGTGTACAATTTGGAGTTTATAATTCCAGCATGTCCATTTGGAATTTAAAGCCTATATCTAGCTGCATGAGCCAGGCTCCATAAAAACATAAGGGTGAATAATTTAAGTTGTATTAACTGGTCACAGATTGGGTGTACACTGAAGGTGGTCTGTTAGTCATCACCTGAAGCTGACTGTATGGAGATGCCCTTACTAGAAGAGGAGGGTGGCAAATGTGGAGAATTACTCAATGTGAATTACCCTTTTCATCAAGATGTTGTCAGATGAGAGCCTGGCAGTACTTGTGCCTGCACTGTAACTCATTTTTAAGTCTACACTGTGACTCACTTTCAAGCCTACAGTGTCAGAAAGGATGGATGGATGCCTTGTGCTTGTGTGTGGCCCTGACTGTCCATTTCAGCTCTAGGGGAGACAGTAATCTCATCCAGACCTTCCTTGAGAACAGGGAATGAGCTGCCATGCTTCAGGAGTCAGAGAGTGACCAAACTTGCAAAATTATCCCAGGTAGAGGTGAGAAAAGAACGAAACCAGGCACAGAAGATGCAGATCACTTTGCAGGAACTAAGCAGGTCCCTAATTTAAAAAGAGCATACAAACATTCTTTTGTGTACTGATACTTGAAGCTGCTTAATTGTAGTTAATTAATTAAATTATTAAAAAATTAATTGTAATTGCTTAAATGACTTCACTTATGGCTTCACTTGGTGATACTAATAGAAAGTTTTAGAAACTATCTTGGAGTATCATCCAAACATTCTGAAATAAAATGAAATTGTTTAAAAGCAATGAAAGGCTGCACTTACACTTGGTAACTTTAATGCTCTGATTAAATTTAAAAAAGTAATTTTCTGAGTAAGGAATAGGATTTGATACTTATCCATTAGAAGAGGCAACATTTTACTTGTTTATTTTAATACTGCTTCACCACAAACAGTGTTCCTCTGTTCAGGGAGGCAACTCTGACACATGTATATGAAGGACTTAATTCTGCAGATCAGTCATTGCCCTTTATTCTGTGCCTGTTACTGGAATAATCATTAATAATGTTGCTGCAGTAGATTGGGTGCAGGACTGGACTTGTGAGGGACAAACTGAAAAGATGTGCAGCATTCTGCCTTGTAAGGCAAACTTAAATGGCACTCAGCTCTAAAAGTAACCACCTTGAAACAGCTTATGTGGAACAGTGTCCTACACGTGTTCTCAGCTTCTTATCTCAAGCGTTTTGGAAAACCAAAATTTTCCTAATAAGTTGTTTTGCTGTATGTATTTTTAAAAGGAGGAAATTTAAATTAGATTGTGTTTCTAATGACAGTGACTGTTCTTCTGTCCCACTATGAAAATCTGCTCTATTTTCAACCTGTGGAAAGCCAGCAGGAATTGACCCTTGGATCATGCATCAGCTTCCTCTATAATAGACCTCAGGCCTTATTTCATGTGATGTTCCCTAGCTTTGAATTCTTGGTTTCACACCTTTCATTTTCTTAGTATCTTGTGCATATCCTGTACTTGAATTGCATTTACATCTTTTATTTAAAGTTTAAATGAAAGAATGAGTACCATGACATGACAAACTCATACCACTGAATTACTTTTGGTTTTGGTTTTGTCTCAGCCATAAACTCTCCTTCCTACTGAGGTTAACTGGAGGCAGCCCTGGATTCTAATCAGTGTAAGAAAACACAGCACAGGGGCCTATCTGTCCTCTTCAGAGCACTTGGCAGGCACCCAAGACACCCCCATTTTTCACTGGAGGCTGTATTAAAGGTCTCTTCAAACTCCTGAGGGGAGCCCCCTACAAATGGAAGATATGAGAGGAAAGAAGGAGAAGGTGTCACTTACTGATTTAGAAGTTTGCCTTCAGACACTAAAACCCAAACTCAGAGGGAATCTGAGGGGCAATTTGTAATGCACAGATTTTTTAAAGGGCAGTGGAACAGCCACTGCAGTCTGAGACAGCACCCAGAAATTAACATGCAAGCCAGAAACCCATTCTGCTCCACATTTGGCACAGCCATATTCCTCCTCAGGTAATTCCTGTAGGAAATTCCTCTGTCCTGTTCACTCTGCTGATCAAGAAATGGTCAAATACACTTGCACTGTAAGTGATCCACCTAGGTAAAAATTGGTTCAGTAACAGTAAGCACCTGGGTGTTTCTTGCATGTTTCTCCCTAGATCAAACAGCCATACTCAAACATAATCATCTTACCACTTTGATTACTGTATCTTAATGTTTGACTTGCTCTTTTCCATCTTAAAATACAATTAAATTAATTTTGCTGGACAGTTACCGCACAGGGTGGGTTTTTTAATGGTCCAACTGCAACTCAGTTAAAATTAGTGTTTGCCTTTACTGCTGGTCATAAAAAAATAAAATGCTCTCATCAACTGCTCTATGTTCATACAATTGCAAGTAGTAACACCACTCTCCCTAAAGAAAGTGTCAAAAGCCTGAAAAAAACCCTCAAAAAATAATAAAACCTAAAAAAAAAAAATTTAAAAAACCTCAAACTCCTACCTGCCCTTTTTTACACTCAGAGAATCAGGGAAATACCTTACACCTCTGTGACCACTGTCCTTCACAGGGCCTGTCTGAGATCAGAAAACAACAGAGGTGTCAGTCAGGTGCCAGAGCTCTTCACTCTTCCTTTACCAGCCCACAGCATCATTGAAGCTGCAGCTGTCTCAGCACAGGAGTGGCAAAGTCTGCTGCAAGCTGGTGTTGGAAGAAAATTCAATCTGCTTTATCCCACCAGTCTAGTTCATGTGATACTTACGTGGGCCTGTGTTTCATTAGTTGGAATGAGTTTTGTTTTACTGTAACTCCACCATATGTCTTGTGCTGCTCTTGTCTTTTTCCAGCTGTAAAAATTGGACAATGCATCACAGCTAATTTGGGGGTTTGCTTTCTTCAATGTGGATAGTTTGCATCAGCTGTACACCAATAAATGGCAGGGAAATTTCAACGATCAGATTTTAAAAATACTTAAAATTAACCAAACAGTGCAGGTTTACATGTAAGTTATTAGAAGGTTCATCCAAATCACCAAATACCCAAATACATAATCATCAGGTTGCCGTGTGATCATTTAAATGTGCAAAGCAACAACCTCCTGCTGCCCCAAAAGCTGGCTTTCATTTCTGTTAAATGGAGTTAGTGATTTCTTAAATTAAAAATTGTCAATTTGGTGGCGGTTTTAAAATGTTCAAAGTTTGCATTCAAGTTAAAATTTTCTTGAGGTCTTTTAACATAATTGAGAACTTTGGTCCTTACTCCATACAGTTTTATGTAACACAGGCACACTAACACCAGAACCCCGTTATTACAGCTACTTCTCCATGTAATTTGCTGTCACTGATGAAAAAATTTCACTTCTGAAAATGGAAAAAGCACTGTAAGCCACTAGTGGCGTGGATTTAAATGACTTTTCCATCTTCAGTCAAAATCTGATTGCAAGCTTCAGACCCAACAGATGCTTCACAAGCCAGCAAGCTCCCAAGTGACTCCAGGTCTGGGGACTTCCTCTTCAAATGTTACAGCCTGGACATGGCAGTGAGTGATTGGATTGGAAATGCTGCCTGCAGCAAACTCTCTGGCATCAGTCCCTCTTCTCCCTAGTTAGCAGCAGCACTCCTGAAGTCCCTCTCATCAAACATTGCCTGGGAAGGAACACAGAATATAAAAGCAAGGGTCAAAGGCAAAACCTGGAAGTTCTCAGGCTCTGCACAGAAAGTCTTTATTTCATACAGGACAGGACAGGCTGACTGGGAACCTTTTGAAACAAGTAATCAAAGGTAAATAAATCCTTCAGATTTCAACATCCAGAAGGATACTTCTCACAGAAGATGCTGAAGCAGGCTGCAGCAGATGGCTGATTTTTCTCCTTGAGTCAAAGCAATGAACCTCAAATCTAATTGGTTTTGGAATAACATTTATACACAATAAAGGAATTAAAACTTCAGCAAAAAAATTTGTGCCCCATACGGAAAGGAGATTTGTTAGTGAAACCAATTTCAAACAAAAATAAATTTATTTAATATCTTACACAGTAGAATTCCTTCATTGCACAAATCATATTAATGCCTGTTGAATATTACATTCCTTAATAAAAAAACCTCTGTAATACTGAGGTGGGGGACCCCAAAAGTAAACTACATTAGAACTAGGTACCATATAGCTTATGCAGCCACATGAGAAATGTTTTCTTTGTTATTACATAGGTAGTTGGTTCTATCAGCTAAAGCCTAGTGACTTGGATTTGTTTTATGCATATTGGATTTTGTTCTATTACTTTCCAAGAGATTGTACTCCCCTGAGTCAGCTGTGTTCATTGGTCAGAATAAATTCCAGCATCTGACACCATTTCCATTAATCACAGACAAGCCAGTATATGTGAGCAAGATAATAGAAAGATAAAAACAATATCTGGTGAATGGAAAACATTGTTTATGTATGCTGTTTGTACTACAGAAGGTATGTGGAAGGCATTGTTTTTGCCTTTGACAGACAAAGTGAAAGATGGGCTCTGTGTGAAGCGCTTACTGTGCAGGGGAGGGTGTCTGGAACCACACAGGTCACGTAGCAGCACCCTCCTAACGCCTTCTACAGCCCATCATTGCTATGGCTGTGCTACTGCCAGAGCTTCCCCGTGTATTTGCAAGCCATCTTAAGATAATTAGCTACTAAACAGCTGTGAAATTAATTTTTATTACGTTGATGTTAAGCTGGATCTGTGAAGCTGAATACTTCACCCACCCACACATTTGTAAATAGCGTATTCAGTATTAAATATCTTCCTGCCCATTACAAATTAGGTATCATGGATCCAAAATACAATGCATTTTTCTTCAACTTTTTGAGCAGTCGAGACATTTCACTTAACCCTGTTGTATTAAGCCAGATATGAAGCAGAGAAGTTTACAAAAAAAACCCCAAAAACATAAATTATACTTGTCTAGAAACAGTTCATAGCCTTAAGAGGAAAAAAAATAATGAAAAAGTAGTGCTTAGACACCCATAATCTATACAGCAGGTAGCTGGAATTCCAATAGCTCTGGTTCTCAGTGGCATACTAAAGACACCACAAAAATACTTATTTTTGTATATCAACAATGCAACAACACCAAGTCTGATTAAATTAAGGCTTTGTTTCTTTAACAAAAGAAAAATTAGTAGCCTTCACTACCACAGGAATGAAGAGTCAGAGTTGTGGTGCTGTGCAAAGGAGGCACAATATGGAAAAGTGCACTGTGAACACGCTGGGTCTGTGGCAGCAGCACTGCAGTTACAGCAGCTCCCTTCAGCAGGAACTGAGGGAAACAAGCTGAACCTCCAGGATTCGCAGGGGGCAGCAGCAGCAACTTTACTTAAGGTCCTTCACCTTTCACAATCAAGCCCTAAATGAGGCAATCAAACAGCATAGCCTAAGGTTTGTTCTTCTCCAGCCACTGTCTCATATAAATCAAGGTTGGAACAAAAAACAAACGAAACTCACCTTTCTTAGTTAGATATTACAGAAAAATGCATTTACAAACCAGAGGAATCAAAGCTAATTGAAAGGAGGAAGGAAGATAATCCAATTCTTCATATTATCCTTATTCTGAAAAAGAACACTGTCAAAATATAAGCTCAGAGCTGGTTCAAGGTCTAACACTGGATGCCAAGTATTTTCTTGATAACATACAAATAGCAAACAAATACAGAACTGGATTATTTTGTTTTATTCCACAAACTCACTTTTCATTGTAACCTTTAGCAAATATATGTCATTTGCAGTACAAGACTATCTAGGCCCCATACTAGATTTTTTTGTATTTACATTACACCAGCACAGCTTTAACATCAAGGAACTCACTCCTGATTTACAGCAGAGGAAGACTTGGCTTTCTGATTTGGAACTAGAATTAAAAATAAAGAAAGAACATTTCAAGCAATTTGTTTTCTCTCCTTAAAAGTTCGAGCATTAAGGTGCCTATTCAAAATCACTCCAAAAATGCCTCAGTTCATTCTAAAAATTGTTTAACTCTTGTGCAGACAGTTTTGATTACACTGATCCAGGTAATCTGCTGGACAGTTTAACAAAGTTGGATTATTTTTCATTTCCCAAAACATATTCTCATTGGGCTTTGGAGGACTTGGGAATACCCAGGAATTATCTTCCAGAGAGCTCTTTCCATAGGAATGGTGTTCCTGAAACATTTTGCTGTCAGCTGGAATTGGTCTCTCATCTGTCCAAGCTTGTAGGGTCACCCTTTCTGATGGGACAGGGGCATCTCTCAGCAGAGGGGGAGACACAGCATTGCCGAGGGCTTTATCGTTTTGTGACAGGGTTTTATACACTACCCCAGATGTCAGATTCACCTTTGAAATGTTCAAGTCAACACATTGCACTGGTGCAGTACAGGCAGCTGAAGGAAGAAGATAAAAAAAAGATTTTAAAATTACATTATCTAATGCATTTTTCATGTACCCCAAATGTACTACAGTCTAGCAGGGATGTTAATCACAGTTTCTTCAAGCCACAAGTTTTTGGACCATATTCAGTAACTACTTGAAATCTAAAAACAACATATTACCCTCACTAGTCTCAAGATGAACCCAAAATCCTGACATCATAATGTCTAAAACACACCCAAGTCCAAGGATATCTCCCAATTCCTATTTCAACACAGATAAACTGATGGATCTTTCTGACCAGACTGAAATGAATGCTGAAACAGAGACCATTTTCACATGCTGGAGAAATCATCCACATGCAGAAGACTGAATGCTGCTCCCTATTCTACTGATTCTTTAACAAGCTGTGTTCTTGTGCCATCCAGAACCCAAATTCTCACTACCTATGAAGCAGTAAGAGGGAAACATGTGGTGTTCACAGGTTCTCTTGTCTGACTTTCAAAAGTAAAGTGACAGACTGCAATGTTCAGCTATGTGACATTCCAGAGGAGTTTTAAACTGTTAGGCGGGGGGGGTTTTGAAACAGAACAGCATCTACCTGAAATGGAAGAGCTGTACCTTCAACATACATCTGGACATATGGCCAAATACAAGCAGGTCATTTTGTTTTGTAGTGATAATCTACATAAACATGTAATCAGACTAGATTAATGCCTCCTGAGTTAAAACTCACATCTTACACAGCTTTCTAGAGCAGCTGTTAATCTTGAGCATGAATTGTAATTTTTAACCTTTGTTCTTAAGGGACAGAAAAAGAAGCTGGTATCTTGGTCAAAGAATACAACTTCTGTTTGTCACAATAAATTAAAATTTGTGGATGTCAGCCCAAACCACCTTCCAACACCATGGGCATCATGTCTGAAAAACATGCAAGGCACTGGATTTGGCATTTTTGTGCTGGCAGGGGTAAAAAGCAATTAGAGGCCCACAGACCTTTAGAAGTTCAAGAAAAATTGAATCCACTAAAATAGATTGAAAATGTACCAAAAAAAAAAAAAACTCCCAAAAAACCAACTAAAACCACACAAATAAAAACCAACAAAAAAAAAAAAAAGAAAAACAACCCCACAAGCACATCCATTTGTTGAAAATTCCTCCATACATAACACATAAAATGCCTCTCTACATTCTAAGTAGAATCCACATGTTAACTGATACAGTTCATGTCCCACATGAAGTAATGAACACGTGTTCTGCAGAATTAGTGCGCCTCTGACAATGGCAGCTGGTCTGTAAATGCCAAAAGTCAGTACTAGAGGTATTGGAAGTCAAAGGCTTCAGTCAATTGTACCCATATTTTGCATAAGCCAAGATTTGTCTATACATATAAGCAAAGATGTATCTGCATTGCATTCATAAGTGTGGCTGATGACCAAGATTAGACCTGTCCACTCTCACATACTTCTGAAAAATTACTGAAAAAAGTCTACAGATGAAAAGGCAGAAGTCCACTGTTTCCTGATCAATCAAGAATGCCTTCTGTGGCTGTGGATGAACAACTGCATAAGAACTGCAGAAAATGAGTCTCCTCACCAAGGAGAAGAGAAAAGTAAGTAGTTGTGTAGTGGCAAGACAGGTAACTGCAAATTAAAAGTAAGGACATAAAGACTGTATGTGATCACATCAAACCTTGACAGATCCAAGATTATTTAGACTCATTCAGTTCCCAGTTTCTCTGCTGCACTGCAGTTATTTGACAAACATGTTTTAGAATTATAGGAACACAGACTCACCTGGTAACAATATGGCCAAATCTACAAAATGTTGAGAGTTTGTATCAGCCAAGTACCAGAGACAAAGTGATCATTAGTCACTGCTGACCACAAAGGCAGGGACTGCTCAGGAGGTGAATCCTGTCATTACCTCACTGAGCTGTTTAGAAACAAAATGTCTTGATCTGGTAATGGACAGGGACATCAGAGACTGTCACCAGTACACTGTAACCAAGTTCACTGTCTTCCACCAGTATTCTGAGCATGGTAAAGATCACAATTGAAGTGAGCAGAAAACAAAGGAAATTAACTCTTTACCACCGTTTGTTTGCCTGATAGTCTAGCATTTGGCTTCAGAGAAAAATATGTATGGAGTAGAAGAACTGTCTGATGAAGTGCTCATGGAAAATTTAAATACTTTATGTGAAAAATATTTAACCCTTGAAATTATTTAAGGCAGTTTTGTTTCCCCAGTATTCTGACATTCAGAAAATGTCACACTGTGTAGCATTTTGTTAGAAAAGACTTTCTGAATAAAACTTTTCTGAATAAAATACAAAGAAATAGGGAACAATAAGGAATTTCATTCTTTTAAAGTCTGATTTTAAAATGTTGCAAATTTAATACTTCATATATTCTGCACTGGGAAAATAAGACTGCATTTGCAAAAAGATTTTTTCCCTCCTAATATGAAGTAGTTGTGGTAAAAGGTCAAATACAAGTAAACTTAACACCTCAGCCTTGTGCACATAAGCAACACTTGACTGAGAAAAAAGCCACAAGGGGAACAGAATACAGTACTGAAGAAAAAACACATCAGCAACACCTTTATGTGTGAAGTTGACCAGTATGAGATAGAAGCAAAAGCAGAAAATGGGGAAGCTGGAACCATAATACAGTCTAGCTTATCAACTTCAATTGATGAGATTCTGATAAGATATGATAGCTGGTTTATTTTTAAAATGCTACAGCTTGTATCAATGGTTTGTGTTTGTAAGGTCTGTTACTGCCAACACTGACTTGCCTTTCTTGGCTCCTGGTGGGTTCCTTTTCAGTTTTCGTAGGACCTCAGCTTGCTTGTCAGTCGCTACACGCAAATTGGACATTTCTCTCTTCAGATCCCAATAGGTTTGTTGCAAACTTTCAAAACAAAAATTTATTACAAGTTAAATATTGCTGCCTCCAAAGCAGCCTATTAACATGCCTATCAAGTGTTGACTGTCAGTAAATTGTTCTGCAAATTTTGTTGGAGTACCCTAACTGTAACTGGACTGAACAGTACTGAGAATTACCTTAAATGGATGGACCTTTGTATATAATTTGATTCTTACCTATTGCAATATACAGTGCTTTATATATTGACATACTAGGTAATAATAATAATTTCAACTCTCCAAAGGAAAGAAACATGAAGCTTACTTTTCATTTCAGTATCTGAAACTAACCATCTTCCAATAAAATTAGTCATCTCAAAGGAATACTTTAAATAAAATGACACCGGGTTATAAAAAAGGCACAGCGTTAACTCTGAATACCTTTCAGTAAATGACCACATACCACAACACATATTATGAGCCTAGTAATACTAACTTATTTTTATTTCAAATAATCAAAAACCAGTATTTGGGTCTTATACCATGCACACTGCTACACTGAATTCAGACTAAATACCTGAGACCCAAACTGAGCATACACACAGAGTCCAATCTAAAATATACTCTTTCATATTCAAGGCCTCCAATTTGTGTTAATACACTGCCTGATCAGTGTAAAAAATAGTGTTCCAATTCATTCTCTAAGACAGCATAATAGAAGAAACATATTTAGCAACAGCAGCACTGTTCCAACACTGATATTTCAGGTTAATAACTGCTAAGAAAATTAAGAGGAGAAAAAAAAAGTCAGCATTACCATATGTTTCTTGGTAAAATTTCTAGCAAAGGCTCACTGAATATCGCATTTATGTTGATTAATAATTAACTTAGTGTTCAAAGACATAAGGATGTAGTTACTTCAACTTAAACATGAATGCAATGATTTAATGCTTTTTTAATGATTAACATCCTACCAAAACACATTTATTGAAGACAAATATAACGGACGAGAGTTTCCAGAATTTTTTCCTCCTCACTACATTCACTAAAGGCATTTATTTCAAAACAGCTCAATATTTCAAGCTACTGAGATGAGTAAGAATTAATAAGCTTTATAACTGTATGTAACACTATCCTTCAAAAATAGCAATATATGATCACTCCTGCGTGAAATATCAAGCACAAATGTGTTCAAAATCACTCTGAGAAGTGGCTATTATGCAAGTCAACAATGAGAGAGTTCTCTTAAAACAAAGAAATAGAACTTCTATCCAAAGAAATATTTCACCAGAATACAAAAGTTCAGATGCATAAAGTTCTGTTTAAAAATACAGGAAGGTGTTATTTTAATAAATAATGTGTTAAGTGTCAGCAGTTCTGACTAATAAGAAGTTAAAATTTTCAGAACTGATATTTCAAGAAGTTCAGCTAAACCTGTGGCCTTTCTACTGCAGACTCCTTTTGGCTCTTTCAACTCTTGAGATATGACAACTTAATTTGAATGCTGATGTGGCAACCACACTTCCTTAATTCTTATGCTTTGGTCTAAAAAATAAGATCAAAAACTTCAGTTATGTCAAACCAGAACTGTCCAATATTTAACACAGAAGTGGCAAATACAGGGACAGCTCAAATATTTGCCACCAACCAGAAGAAAAGTTCTTGAATTAATTTTTTAAAATGCATTTAGCAGTTTTACAAGCATCTTGCAAAGGGTTGCAGGTACCAGAATTCCACTTAAATCACATGCAACTGATTTTAATTGTTTTTGTGAATACTGGCCTAGAATCCCATTGCAAAGCCCAATTTTCATGGAATTTGTAATTGAAAACCCAGGATTCCCCATGCCTGGAATTCCCTGCCTTCTAACATGTGATATGAACCTTCACTATGACAGCCTGTTTAAATGTACAGCAAATTAGATTTTCACACTGAGAATTTAAAGTCAGATTTGCAGGCTGCTCACAAATATGAAGTAACTAGTTTCTAGAAAGTTAACTAGGGGCAAATGCCTCCACCATTTCCTATAAAAAGCAGGATTGCTTGCTACAACAAATGTTTCTCATAGGAGGTTTTTTGAGTGTTTCCTCCACAGATTTTTGGATGGGCTTACATATTTATTACTTGTTTAGTATTTATATTACAATAAACATTATAGAGTCCATATGCTCTTTTAGATGGCTGCCACCTGAGCACCACTTGATGGAATATATCTGCTCTGATTAGTAATTATTTGATCAAATGATCAGTTTAATCAGAGCAGTGATCAAAGAAATAGCTGCTGTGTGTTGAGAGAACATCTTTTATCAGGTGTGTGAGGCTGACAGCAAAGCTCCAGGAGGAACCACAGGAATAAGTATCCAGTCAAGGTGAAAGGACAAAGTGTGATTTGTGTGCAGTGTGTGCATTGTTAGCCTCACTGCACCAGAGAACAGATGATGGGAAGGGTCTGTATGTTCTCTTTCACTGGCTGAAAAGTCTCTTCAACACCCAAGGAAGCAGCAAGGCCCACTGCACTAAAGCCTGGCATTGTGAAGGGCTGCTCTTCCCTCTGGTGGAAAATGCTGTAAGTGCACCAACAGGCATAACTATATAAATATTCATCATCATCCTGAACTACAAACACAACAAAGAAATAAAAATTACAATGATCTTGCTAAATAACTATACCTAGACTTTCAGTGAAATTATGTCACACCTAAAGAGTCAGCAAGAATAATTTACTTGTTCAAACAACTGTCCCTCTGTAAACTGAAAATGAAGTACTTCATACCTCTGGATGTCTTGCCTTTGAAGGTGGTCTCCATGTAATGGATTTTCCTCTTGAGCCTGGTCCTGCATAACAGAGTGAAAGGAAAACAGAGAATGAATGAACATGATTTCAGATCTTCTCTCTCAAACAACAGCAGTGAAACTCCAATTTGCCTAATACTGAAATTCACAAGTAGTCTTCATTTGTGTTAGCTGCAGTGGGTTTCAAAAGTGGGTTTCAATTCTACTAAGAATTTCCACTAAGAAATGCTTAAACTACCTACTTATACAAAGGCATTGCTCAGCCACCTCCATACTCTTCTTTCTTTAAACAGATGAACTCTCAGAATTAGAGATTGTTTAAAAAGCAGAAATTGAGAAAGACTTTTAATGCCCATTTAAGAAAGTAATCAGTCTTTTTTTTTCTTCTTTCTATGTCATGGTATATAAAGATCCTTAACTTAAAGGAAGCTGTTTCAGTATAGATTTACTTCCACAAGTTAATTTTATAACTTTATAACATAACAGAAAATAATTTATGTTAATTTTTTAAAAATAACAACAGAAAATAATTTATCTCTTCAGTCTGAAAGACTACTTTAAAATTGCACATATAGGCAGCCACACTGAATTTACCAGGACTGTTTAACAAATCAAACATTGGACTCACTTTGTTAGCTGTGCTTCTATTAGACTCTCACTTGTGATGAGCTCCCTCCCTTTCATATCCCTTCTTTCCATGTTCCCTTCCTATCATCCCCTCTAGCCAAAGCTGTTATGGATTTGATCCCTTTACAGTGGCTTTAAGACAGGCTGCACATATTTCAAGCAACTTGTTAATGTACACGCTGCATCAACTACAATGTTAAACTTGAGTAAGAATATCTTAAGGTACAAAAAACAGAACGTACACTTGCCTAAGGTAGAAAACATTTGAAAACATCTTTTCCTGTTTTCATTTTCATTATTACTTATTACATTCATTAGCTAATGTAATGAAAATAAGTAATAATGAAAATACCAGCTGAGCTGAAATAATGCTGATTTGTCATTGCCCATTAATCACACTTGACTGTATTTCACCTGACAGATTTTCCCCTCCTGAGCTTTATCACCATCTCCCAAAGGTTTAAATTCATAGCATAAAAAATTTGCACTGTATTACCCCATATTTGAAAACATGCACTTTATTTCCTGTATTAAGCAGTTACCAGGATCAAGAAGAAATTGCACTAAAGACAAGCAAAAAAACAACAATCCCCCCCCCCCAAAACCAATGTAACAAAACCTCCCAAAACTAAACAAAAAGCTGTTCCTTGTATTTGCTCTGTGCAACAAAAGCTGCTGGCATAAACATTATTTAAACAGTGTCACATGCAGTATTCCTTACAAATGCTATTTTAGTCTGTTCTCTCTGACATCATTCACTGTCACAATACAATCTGTAATTATTTATGCAGCTGTTACTCCGTTCTAGAGTTACCCGAAGACAACAGAACTTCACACAAGTTACAGCAGTCCTTCAGATTTACAAGCTATTGAAGGCACCTGAAACAGCTCCAGACCCAAGAGAAACAACCAACAGTAAGGGAAGTTAACAGAACACATCACACGCTTTATCCCCACCTAGTGGAAAAACTGCAGACTCACGCAAATGCTGTGTGATTCCAGATTATATAATCATCACTATTAATGACCATAAGGAATGTAAAACAGTCTGCCTCCTCAAACAATCACATTTAAATGTTTTACATTCACTGTGTGACTTCAGTGTGACTGCAGAGTCCTAGAGACTGGCACTGTACCTTTATCAAAGGTAAGATGGAAAGAAGAAAGAATGCACTAGACAATGACTTACTGCTTTTTGTTACTGTTATCTTAATTTTCTTTTTGAGATCCTAACAACGCCTAGGTTACAAAATGTGTCCCTCAGAACAGATACTTGTCCCAGAAATGGCAGGGAAGGGTGCCAAAAGAGGAACTTTCCTGATAAGCTTCATGCAACTACCCTGAAGAAAAGTGCCGCACCTCCTTAAACAAAGTTCATGACATCTTTAAACATTAGCATCCCGTTGCTATTTTAAAAAAAATGAAAATAATAGAGGCCAGCTTTTGCCCAAACTTTCTTAGCAGCCCAGGTTACACAGAACTTCAGTGGCTACTTATAAAAAATCATAAAGCTTTATTTTCTGTTGCTATATGGGCAATGGCTGGGAAATCTCACCCATATAGAATCATAGCATATCTGGAGTTAGAAGTGACCTGTAAGGATTAAGTTCAACTCCCTGCTCACTGCAGTACTACCTAAAGCTAAACTTTCTAATTAAGAGTGTTATCCAGACACTTCTTAAATTTTGACAGGCTTGATGCCATGAACACCTCCCTATTTCCAAGAAAAATGACAGTCTACGAAAATATTTAAGGTTAATTTTACCAAGATATTAATATTCATATATACGTCATCTTTTTGTTAACCCTTGATTTTGATTGACCTTGGGATTTAAAAGAAACCATTAATACAAAAATTCCTTAAAAATTAAGGTACCTTCTGCTTGGAATTTTGCAACTCCTTCCTGAGACTGTTGCACTCTTCCTTGAGTTTTTCTAGATCTTGTTCCAGACTATGCACTTTCAGGTCACTGCTCAGCTTCTCTAATTCCCAGTTAGCCGGAGTACAATTCAGACTTTTTATCACTGTGAAGAAGACAAACAAGACAATTAGATTCCAATCTCAGTCTAAAGAACATAATTCAATATGCAAGATGTTCTTCAATCAGCCCATGCCTTACAAAAACATTATATTCTGGAGAAACTGGAGTCCATGGCAACAGGGAATTATAACACTGGTAATGCTGTTGGCATTACTGGTCTATTTTCTGGGTTTAAAGCACGGAGCCCTACTTTCTAGGAATGCACTGGACATTTGACACAGAGAAAAATGAAGTACTAGCACAAAAAGGCACTGGAAATAAAAAAATCCATTTATGGCAAATACACATCATATATGCCAACTTGCATACTTCTCACATGCTTTGAAAACATGACTCTCTTTTTGTCCTCAGACTTGTATTATTACATCACTTGCCATTACGTTTTCCCCAAGTTAACATCAAGAAGTTCCACACAGAACAAAAGATACAATCCAAACCAAAGGGGAAAGCATAAAAGTTACACAAATCTTGTTAGACTGAAGCAATTCGCATGCTAAGAAGCAACTTAAGCTGATGCTACCATCAGATCAGTAGCAGGGCATTAGTGAGACAGCAAGAAAAGAAGGAATGTGACAGGAAGAAACACCACAAGTTTTCAATTGCGTGGTACGCTTATTTCCAGAATTAATTGTTTAAACAGCCTTAAGTTACACTGATTCTTTTTTTTTTAAAGCAAGGTACCCAGAGTCCACTTATGAGTAAAACTGAATTACAAACAAGGAAATCATCACATTTTCAGAGCTCTCCTTACAAACCCTGCAATTCTTACCTCCTGAAACGATGACATCCTCAACAGTGATACTAGCACTACCTGCAATTTGTTTTTCTAGGCTTAAACATTTGTGCAATTGAAGTAGTGCATTACATACATGCTTAAGGTCCTCTTGGAGAGTAATGAAATTCAAGCACAGCCATTCAGTCAATCCCACTTCCTCTGGCAGCTGCAGAGGGTCCAGCATATTGCTTTGTCTTGCTGTTGGATACAACAAATACAAGAGGATGTTGTATAGCAACAGCAAGACAAAGCAATATGCTGGACCCTCTGCAGCTGCCAGAGGAAGTGGGATTGACTGAATGATCTTCATATCTGACCAGGCCTCTGCCCTGCTCTGAGGAAAAGGTGCTGGGGTCCAGAGATGTACATGACCCAGCCTATAAACTGTTAGGTGGTGCCCATTTCTCAAATTTGTCAGTCACCTAGGGTGGGAGAACACAGCAGCATCAGAATATACGTGTCACCATTCATGAGAATGAATACAAGTTCAAAGTACCTCAGTGCTGTTCATGCCTCTCTTACCTTGCCCTTGTATAGGGTTAAGCCTCTTCATGCCCCAAGATCACAATATAACCACTACATAACTACATAACTATACCTTAAGATGAAGTAACCAAATGCATACCTTGCTGAGTTTCCACTTCAGTTCTTAGTTGTAACAGCTCTACTTCTTTAGATTGCAACTGTTCATTCAAGTTTTTCAAGGATTCCGCACTTTCTTTTGCCTGTTTTTCAGGAGAGAAAAACCCCAATCCAAAATAATTTGTGAGGCATTTTTCTATCATGTCAGACAATTCAATAATTTAGAACAAATACAACAACAAAAAAATATTACTTTGATTTTTATTTTAAACATTATTCTAGCCCAGTAATAAAACTGAGGTACATTAAATCGCTATTTCTACAGAAAATATTGTCATGTACTTTAAAAGAGTGATAAAACCAACACCACAGATCTTAAGAATATAAAGCTCATTCTAGAGTAAACAGGTACTAGCTATGCAGTGCTGATAAAGCAAGCCCTGAAGCCATTACTTAAAAAGGCACACCATTTTTTCCAGTTTGCTTTTCAGATGGTCGCGGTCGATGCAGGCCTCTCGGAAGGCTTGGTAGGCTTTGTTGACTTGTTCCCGCCCAACCGAGCTGCATTCCTCCTCCGCCCGCGAGCCGAGCACCTGAACGGGCAACACACAGGGAACAGAACAAGGGAGGAGTTTTCTATGTGATGCTGGGAACTGCAAAATTTTAAGCTTGCCATATTAATCTACCAGCTTTTCCTTTTTTTTTTCAGTTTAGATAACAAATTAGTCAAATACACTGATACAGGCCGTGTTTTTTACAAAAGTGCAGCAAAGGCTGTCTACAGATTCTGAAATCTCTAACAATACTTAATGCTCACTAATTTATAGAATCATAGAGTAGTTTGAATTGGAAGAGGACATTTAAAAGCTCACCTAGTCCAACCCCCCTGCCATGGACAGGGACACTTTCCAGTACACTGCTATGAGTTCACTCCTATGAGTACTTAAAAACCATTCATAAGTTATCATTACTCCTACTGATAATCCCTTAATCATACTTTTTCTAGGCTCCAAAAAAATGTAAACTGCTTTTTGAAAAAGGAGTTTTAAGCATATAAATGCACAACAAACAGAAAGTTCAAAGGAAGCCAAACATAATTACTTAAATGCCTCATAATGTAAATAAAGATTTTTTTCCCACCTATTTATGTACAAAAAGCCAAAGCAGAATAATTTTAGAAATATCTATTAACTTTGAGATTACCACCATCTTACTGCCTGCTATGGCAAAAGACAATCAAGGCAGAATAACCACTACCCACTGGATTGCTAGAAAAAGGGGAACAGAGTTAAAATATATTCAGTGTTTTTAATAAGACAGAAAGAAGTCTTACATCAAATTATATCCATTCATATTAAAAGTTCTTGTTTTAATTAAGTATTGCATTCTCCTTTTCATTCTTTTTATCCTGTACACTTCGTTTATGTGTAGCTCCTGCAGATATTCACAACAGATTTTCACATATTTTCTTAAAAATTAGGAGTCACACAAAAGAAATTACTAAAACGAAGCATTGACACTCACATATCTACCTTAAATATCTCCTCTTTAAAGTGTTTGCTTGCAAGAAAGTATGGGAAAACAGGAAGACAGATAGGAAGCTTCTGCCCTTTGCTTTTTTTGTTTATCTGTATGATTCCTTTTAAGTTTTGTCCTTTATATTTTCTCCCCCTAATAAAGCCACTCACATAGAACATAAGCCTTAATAAGCTTTCTGGAAGTTTCCATGAATGCTGAAATGACAGACTCCAAAGGGGTAACTCCCCATATATTTTTTAAGCATACAGGTACATTAGCTACTGACAAAGACTGAAAGTCACTAACAGCCTTGGCCTCCCTCATGAAACATTTTAGTGGTATTCACATACTAAAAAGTTTTCTCTACAGAAAACAAAGTAGCATCTTCAAGAGAATTAACCTAAACCAGGCCAAACCAAAACACACACGACAAAAGGAATTGTCAAGGTCAAATCCTGTTTATTGTGATTCTGAGTAGCAACATAAAAGATGTTACACTCAGCATGGTTCAGGTCTAAAGCTCTATTCCTATTCCCAACATCCCCTTAAACTTTACATAAAGACAGTCTTGAGATGGTTTTCCTTTCTGAGAAAAAGTCAATCCTGTCTTCACCAAGAATTCCCAAATAAGTGTCTCAAAGCTGTGCCAAGTGTGACTCAAGTGCTTCATTCCAATGCCACAAAATAATACACACTTGGAAAGCTTTTAAGAGTCAGTAGCATAGTTAGGAGAAAGTCCTAAATAATGTCTCAGCTCTAACACTAGGATCTATCTTTACATCTTATATAAGAAAGCAATCTATCAAAGTCAAGAACTTCTGCAGTACAAAGACACTCAATGCTGAACAATGGACATACATTTCATCACGGCATTCCTTACTTGGAGAGAAAAACCTACCCTGGTCAATTTTTAGCTTTAATGAACTTCACTAGTTTATGGCCATGAGAAACTGCTTATAAAACAAATTCCAATATTCATTTATATTTCAGAATTATTGCATCAAAAACCAGCCAGCCAACATCTATGTTAGGCATTTCAACTTTGCATTTCATACTTGAGGCTGTGATTAGCTAGACCTAGCTGGATATTCTTACCAACCAATTCTTCCTTATCATTTTGGTATGCTTAAGGGTCTTTTGACACACAGTTCCTGGATTCTGATAATTTACAAGCTTTGCACCTCACTGTTCAACAATACTGTGTCACATGTGCCCAAGCTAATAAACACCACGAAGTGGCACCCAAACTACAGTGACAAATTCTATGCAATTAGACATCTGTCTGAATCAGCCACTGTCTTTGCATTGCATCATATATGTGCCCAGTGAGAATCAAAAATGCCAGTATGACACAACTACACTACCAAAGGAACAAATTGCATTTCACTTAAATAAATAAAACTATTTATAAAAACTTTTTAACATGGAAATTATTTCAAATATATATTTCAAATCCTTAACCCTCTTCTCTGCCATCCAGCCAGAAGCAAACAAGAAGCTGCTACCAGAAACTGGTATATCAACTATTTTCTTACCTTCTCTTCTAAAATTCTCACTTTTTTTTTTAAGAAGGAGTTCTCCTTCTCTGTCTCTTTCAGTCGTTTCTTGATATCTTCATATGCAGTGACAAGTGCAAAGTGTGAGGCAACAGACTCATCTCCACTATAGGATGGAACAGGAATATCGCTGTCTCTCTTGTGAGCATTGTCTGCTTTTTCATGGTTCAAAATACAGATATCATCCTCTACCAACTCCTCCATGACAGCTGTTAAAAAGACAGATATAAGTGCTAAGTTTTCACAAAGACAAATTCATCAGAGAGTCTGAAAACCTTCCAAAATAATACTGCAGGGTGTTTCTGTCTAAGTATGACAAGACAAGACTGAATAATCAGGAAGTATCTTAATGTTGCTGAAAAATCTTGAAATCCATGTCACCTTGAAAATACACTGTTTAGAAAAGACACATTTCACCGTTACTTGATATAAATATTTTGAGTACCTATCAGATGTATGAACCCTCAAATTCATTTTTATTAAGACTCAACACCAATGTAGAATTTGGCTGGTACCAACTATCTGAACTCCAAAGGAATACTATATCTGAGCTTTTGCAAGCCGGCACTGAGCAGTAAAAGAGTACAGTTCCAACAAATCAACCAACTCCTGTGGTTCCTGAGCACAAGTGCCAAAGCCTCTTTATTTCTGAATCCAAATACTTATATTTTTCCAAAACATTAAAATAATCTTAAATGATCTTAAATTACACTTGTATTAGTCCTTAAAGAGACTGTATGGGTAGCTATTCTTTCCCTGGTCACAGCAGAAAACCTCCTTCTGAACAATTACAGTAATTTTTGACTGAAAATATGATGAGAATGAAAACATGCACAGTAACATGATCTGCCTCAATATGTGTGGAGAAAACTGACAATAATCTGATCACTAGTAAAGTGTCACTCTAAAATACCTGGCAGATCCATGTGAATGACAAATGCAAAGTAGACATTACACTGAGCTTTTGTTACAACCTCCACCATTCAGGCACAGCAAAACACTCAAAAAAGAAAATACAATCTTAAAGAAATTCTATGTATTTTCTTGAGCAACAGCTCTCAATAGAAAACCCCCAAAAGCATTTTCCTTAAGAGTTACAAGTTATCTGGAACAAGTTTTGGGGTTTATTTAGAAATAAGCCAACCTCCAAAATGCAAAAACAACTAACCAAAACCAGACACATCTCATTTAGTTATGAACATCAAGATTACTTGTATTCATATGCAGTACTAAGAAATGCTATTAAGTGCCGGATAATACCACTGCCCTTGAAACAAACTAGTGATGTGACTTCTACAAAAACCAGACTTTTATTTTTTCCCCTTCAACAAATCCTTAGGTTCCTGATGATTAGCTAATGAACCAACAGAAATGCTGGAATGAAAGAACTGAGCATAATGAAGACAGCTTTTTGTACTGCAGGAAAAACTTACTTCAACAGAAAACCGACTTGATCAGCAGAACTTTGCAGCAAAGGCAGGCATTAGTGAAAAAAAACCCACAGTCACAATTGCTGCTTCTATTGTGTATTTGCTATTTGAATTCAACCTAAACTTCCATTTGTTTATAGATACTAGACTTCCATTTGTTTATAGATTACAAGAAGTAAAGGCCTGGAGCTTGTCTGTATGGTCAAACTCCTCTCACCATGCTGGAAAGCTTTCAGAGTGCAGCATTATGAAGAGCTGTAGTACAGCTACTGCTGAACAATAGTGCTCTTATCACATTTGTCTCAATTTGCTCCAAGCCAGTTAGACAACATGATAAAAAACTGTGACAGCTCATTTCTACTAAATAAGACAGCAATGGAGTTTTTCAACAGTGAAAAAAAGACAAGAATACTACACACCAAAGCTGAACTCCTTTTAATGGTTATGTTCAGGAGGTGAATAGATGCCTTGTATGTTGTTTGATGCATTCTGACAAAAAAGTAGCCTAAGTTTCCCTTGCTTGTTGTTCTGCCTTGAATATTCTGTGATTTCTGTGATATTTAAGTAGAAAGAACCCTGCAAGAAAGGTTTGCTTCCTTTTCATTGTAAGCACAGTATCACTCCATGTGCAAGGTGACCTTGACCAAAAGCACCACATCATTCAAACTGCATTAACTGACTGAAGGAATTGCTCATTTTGTCTTCCAAGATGAGCATAACATACCAGCTTATCCTCCCCCATTTCACCAAAGGCTCTGCAAGCCTTGTCACCCATCCCATCAAATTCCCAAGAGCCTGCCCTCTCAAGGCAACACATCTCCTTTTCTCGGAACACTTAACTCAAATGTCATTAAAGAAGTGTCACAGCTCATCATTATCTCTCAGAGAAAGCAGCAGATTTGTGACCTTGTACATAACAGAGATCTTTGTCCCCATACTTTCCTAGAGCTCCTAAACCTGAGCATCATACACTCCCTATTTCTTGCACACATCAGTGCTACCAGGAGATGGCAATATGGGAAAACAGGACCATATTTATTCTGCGTTTTGTTAACCAGAAGTGCCTTTATGAGCCTCCAGGAGAGAAACACTTTCCAAATAAGACTCAGTATACACAAATACTATTTTATAAATACAAATACACACCTAACCTGCACCTGTTAGGAAGACTAGTTACTCTAACATTTTTTTACTTGAAAGATCTCATTTAGTTTATAGGATTATTCAACTCTGGTTTTCTGATGCTGCTCTCTAAGCCAGAAGTGGAGATTATTTAGAAGAGAAGCATTTAATTCCATATAATTCAAAGGGACTTTGTTTGCACGCTTTTCTAAATTTCTACACTGAAGATAACAGTTCCCAAAAATCCAATATACACATTTTTGACTAACTGTATTGCATACTAAGTGATGACAAGCTGCCATTAAACAGTTCAAGATCAGCAGTACTGTAAAAGGCCATGGTGAAATGCACAGCTCACCCAGCTTTTTTTGCTGTCAGGATAGACAAAAACCCTTAGTATAGAAAAAGAAATGTCTGTAAGAAATCCCCAACTCCAGCTGTAGTCTTTGATTTCACCCAAGGACAGGAATCAAAATTTAGATGCCCCAGTACTGTATTACCTCATCTTAAAAATATGAACTGACAGCAACAATCAAATAAGTGTTTTGATTATTCCACAGGTTATAGCTCCTCAAATCTGGAAGAAGGAATGCCAGAAGGTCTTTCAGGATGGTTCACCAAGTCCTGCCACAGACTTCTGCCCTGTTTTAATCTGTTTGACTTCTCCTAATTCAAAGTCACATTCATATGCACTGCTGAAAATGCCTCAGAGCTGACATTCTGAAACACCTGAGTGAATACTGACCTCTCTGGAGCTGCAATTCATGAGATAATCTGTGCTACAGTAACCGGTTCAGGTGAAAGATTTCTCACTAAAATATTTGAAGTAATATACCAACAAGTTAATGTCTCTGAATACAACTCATGTCCATCTCGGCCTCCTTAAGGCAAACTTCACAATCCCATTTACCACACGTCCCATTCCAAGAAAGGTCTTCTTAATACTTTTTACTCCCTTTACTTCAGCACAGTAGCTAAGTGTTTTGCAGTGATAAATATATTTAATTTACACTTTAGAATGATCTGCACACTTAAAACAGCCTACTTAAAAGGACTTTAATCTTTACGTCCGAAACAAAATACATTAAATGAGTACCAGTACTACTATTGTATTAACTAACTAATGTTTAAAAGCCTACAAACAAAAAACCCAACCTGAACACACTGTTCATAGGAAACAGCATTAAGTTCTAGCAGGACTAATTATGCTCCCTGTTTGTAAGCAAGTGAGTTTGAAGAAGTGGCACCACCTAAGTTTTCTTTCACACAATGTGAAGAACAGAAGAACAAACAGGAACCACTTCTGTTGCTCAACATAGGTTATAGAACAGCTTTGATTCAATACACTGAATATTTTGAGCAAAAAAATGTTTTCCCATATCTTCCTCATGCTTGGCAGAAACACAGCTTTTCTCTTTAAAGAGCTTTAAGAACACCAGTCATTAACACCATGGGAAGCAGTTAAATATAAAACACATTCTACATATGAGGAACATGGGATGCAGAGGCTCTAATAGCAAATAGACCACTGCATAAACAGAGCTCTGTAGTTTGAAATGCTAATCTTATTCTCGGATCAGAAGGAGAGATAGTAAAAGCAGGATTACTTTAAATTTTTCCCAGTATGAAGCAGATTCTTATTTTGGCCTAACAGTTGATTTGAAAGAGAATAAAACAATTCTCACAATATTTCCAAATACCAAATGCAAATAATTTCAAGATGGTTGTTTTCCTGTTTGCCTTCCAGACTTGAAGGGTTTGACTTCCTAAGGATAATAGGAACAGTTTCCAGCTGTTGATAACAAGAGCATAATTTTTGTACAGAGAAGGGTATACATAAATGCACGTAAACATAAAAAACCCTTTAAATTCAAGAAATGCCTTTGAACCAAAGGGATGCTGAGCGAGCATGTTGCAACCTTCACCTTAATTTCAGAAAAAGCTGTACTGTTTTTTTTTTTCTTTTTTTAAAGACACTTCAGCATAGCAAGGAATAATACAGAATTCCTGCAGCCAGCATCAAAAACTCCACACAGTACTTGGAGCATATGACACAAGATGTTAAAACAAGCAGCAAGACTTCCAGTCTCTTTAAGCATCCATCACTTTGCACCTCTCCTTCAGAAATCTTAGGTTCTCTTTGATTCCAATTGTGAACAGACTGTTCTACAGAGAAAGGCCTCACTTTTTACACTTACTTGCTCCGTTTAAGAGTAATAAAAATTCTCACACATCTCAGCAGCTGCTCACACCCACATCTGCTGCTTTGGCCGCTGCTCATGCTTCCATATGGCCAAAGTGCACAGGCCCAGCGCCCTCCCAGCGAGTCCCAGTGCACTGGGTGCTCCTTCAGAAACACGTCAGCATGGGAGCTGCATCACAGCTCCAGAGTGCTTTCGTTTTATTGCCTTCAGGAAATGGAAACTCTCTGTCTCTGAGCTCACACACCACATCACCGCAGCTCATCTATCCCGCACATCTGGGGAAGCTACAAAAGCCAAGTAAAATCTCCTTAGGTACAACAGGCAATTTTTTTCAATCTCAAGGTTTTTATAATAAATAATCTACTTTCACAAGGACCAGAAAAGCAATAAACAGCCCATTTTATTACAAAAGCGCTTGATAAATTTTACTTTCTCTGAACAGTGTCAGACTCCAGTACCTCCACTGCTAATTTGCAAACCTTATGCATCCTCAATGTAATGTATTCAATCTGCCTTTCTGTGGATGCTGTCACAATAATCACTCCCCCTGACAACTACCTGAAAAGGGGGAAAATAAAAACCCAGAAGTAGGAATCAATAAAATATTATCCTTTCAGCATCATGTAATCCAGTTTATTAAACTATTACATTTAATGCTGAAAGTAATTAAAAGCAGTGCTGTCAAACAAACCTAAGTAGGACTAAAATGGCTTTTGGCTGTTAAACATTTCTAGCACCAAATATAAGTATCTTGAAAGGTTATTGAAACCCTTCTTTTGCTGTTCATTCATTCCCATTTCAAAAGGTTTATAAGGAATAACTATTTCCAAAAGTTAAGAGGATTTGTTTTGGATTTTTTTTTCATATGTTCTTTTGTAAACCAAACAACAGGTCCTACCTCCCAATCACAAGTTTCTTCCTATTCAATTCAATAGATTAATTACAATTCAATAAGTTCACAAGTTCAGTGATAAGCCTTTTGTAATTGTATTAACTTTTAATTCAAGTGGAAATATGCCTCACCTGTTACAGCCACTGGAAGGCAAGTGAGTCTCACTGATGGCCCTTGCTCATCCTCAACTCACTAACACAACATCTGCAGGTTTCCAAGACACAACTTCATCCAAGACCGGATGCCAGCAAATCTGATTCAGGCTCCCTTTTACAAGGGGACCAGATGATCTTGCCAGGTTCTTTTCAACTTGGGCTGTCTTCTAAAATCCTATATTCAGATTTATATGGCAATATTTCAGATAAACCTGGTAATTTGAACCTAAGTTCCACTCAACAGCTTCCAAGTGGATGACTTCGAATATTCAAGCCATTTATGCTTCACTTACCCTCTCAAGCTTAAGTTCTTCTCCCCAAAGGTCCTGTCAAATTTTAGTTGCACCTACGGTTTCATACACAAAGAATTCCACATAAAAAAAATTGTATAATCATGTAAATTAGTTAATTAACGCAAGTATAGTATAAACATTTAGCAAAAACATAAGACTGAGTCCAAAGTGAACCATGGATAATGGACACAGGTATGGAGTTCAGCAGAACTCCCCACTGACTCCTACCAAGCTGGTCCCTATCCTGACCCCTTTGTTAATCCTAGCGTTGCCATCTTAGCAAACTGGATCTCATTATCACTGTTTTATTCAAGATGGACTGTCAGACTTCCCCTGTCTAGAAAATCCCTGTGAAAGAATGAAAATATATATCAAAAGGTAAACCCACATTGCATTTTATTGTTTCCTTCTACATGTTCTCTTTTTTTCCTCAAATTCTGTTCTAAAGAAAGCATATGAATAGCATGTGCAGTGACAGGGGAGTTTTCACTTTCCTAAGTAGGCAACCCACATTTAACATTTTATAGTGCACAATCTCCAATTCAATGCATCTATTGAAATAATACAAACAAATTTTACTGCATTTGCAACTCTATGATTTTCCAATGCTGTGAGATGAAATTATTCTATTTCTCTGCCCTGAGTACACTAAGTAGTTTGTTCATATATTTGACCAATAATTTGCACATTTTCCCCACCTTTTGAGTGTCACATATAAAAGATATACTGAAAACCATAGTAGAATACTTGCTGAAATTTAGGCAATCTTAAAACTCTCTCATTTATTTCCCATTTTTCCTGCACAAAGATGTCACTTCACCCTCTTTGCTCTTTTGAAAAACTTTTCATTCTTTAATTTTCATTGTAAAGCATAACCTAGCTAGCACTTGGGTAATGGTCAACTCACACTTTTCTAAACCACAAATGCAGCAAACAAGGTTCTGAATAATTATAAATTTTAGCAAAAAACACAGGTGTTGGGAGTGAGAAGGTGGGTAAACCCTTCATACAGTCTAATTTAGAGTTCAATGAGCCAGTGTTTTCTGCCTTCTGACTTCACTGAGATTTTAGATGAAAAAATTCTGCTTAAAATTTGAGGCAATCTACTTAAGCTATAGGGCAATTATCTGATAAACACTTCTAACAAAAGTGCTGTTATTAAACAGCAATTATTCAAAGAACAAAAAGTAGTAATAATCTTAGATTTCTTTTGGTTTCTACAGTAATTTTAGTAGAATTACTAAAACTCTAAAATAGATGTTGGAACAGATAACTTGGACTATTTGCAGCAGAAGCATGTGATCATACACCACTATCCCGGAAATGAAAGTTTCCCATAGCCCATAACAGCATGTCCCAGAAAACTGTCTCAGAAGAGAAACTGACCTTTGGAGTCCAGAGCAGATTTCACTGTCCTGGCAGTAATTCTCTCCTAACTTCGCTTTTTCCCGAGTCTGTTTCCAGCACACTGATTTTACTGCATACATACAGTGAAAGGCAGTGGGGAAATGAAATGATTCCTTAAGAAACAAAACTCCTAAAAGCACTCACTGGAACAGCTGACACTCACATCTAAGTTGCTAGGGGACCAATTCATTTAAGGAGATAAGGGGTTTTTCCCTACCAGGTGAAACAGTAGGATTTCAAGAGGCAATTTTTTATATGTTTAAAGCACCACTAGCATACACAACTACACTTCCTTCTTCCAAACTAACACGGCCTGCAGCACCTGTATTCCTGTCAGCTCCAATATTCTATCATGTTTCTGTTTTCACAGCAAACCCGTAGTTTGCTCATTTCCTTTGCCAGACTGCTCTGTACCAAGGCACAAACTGCAGCTCCAAGAACTCACGCAGTTTTTCAACTCGATCAGAGGCAGCTTTGTAGCCAGGCTAACAGGCTGCCCGAGGCCCAAGCCCACCCTATTGGCGGCACCTGTAAGCCTCGCTCACCCTCCCGCCACGGGATGACTGACCCCTTATTCCGGCCAAGCGTGACTGGGCAGGGACACGGCACAAGACCGAAGAGGCTGCTCCTTCTGAAGCTCAGGAAGTTCCACTTCAACATGAGGAAGAACTTCATATGAAGGAGGCAGAGCACTGGAACAAGCTGACCAGGGAGGGCGTGGAGTCTCCCTCTCTGGAGTCATTCAAAACCCAGAATGACTCCAGACCTGCACACAGTCCTGTGTCACCCGTAACCCGCTCGAGGTGACCCTGCCTCGGCACCGGGGCTGGACTAGATGATCTCCCTTCCAACCCTCAAAATTCTGGGCTTATACGAGGACGACTCTTATTTTAAGGAGAGAAACGAAAGACCAGCCTCTTTTCCCGGGGAGAGTCGCTCTTCTTCCACGGGGCACGAAGCTTTCCAGCACGCCGGGGGAGCCCCGGCCGGGGCCG